TATTATGATTTTTTTTTGGTGAGATATTTCCAATTAATATTCTGTAATTGCTAATTTTGGTATCGGTAATGCATATCTAACATCTTGTGATTTCTTATATCGTAAAATTATATTTCTAATTTATTTCTTTTATGCTAATTTCTTTTTTTGCAATGCAAAATACGCAATTCAAATATCATATGTGTTATATATTAAAAAATAATTGTAAATAATGAATATATGAATTGAATAAATATGCCGAATACTGCCACATTAAAAAAAAAAAAAAAAAAAAAGCTGAATAAAATAAATAAAAAATATTCTCTTTGGAATTGATAAATTTATTGAATAACACATACTAACTCTCAAAAAAAATAAATCGAAAAAGATATATTTTTTTCCAATTTTTTTTCCATTCTGATATATATGTTGTAGACTAATTTAATTACAATAATATTTAATTAAAACGACACTTTAACTGCGAAAAAGGTTTTATTCAATTTTTTGATAATTCTGCTGTCAACAAAATCTCTCGGGTACGAATAATCAAGTTTCAAGCGTTCTTTAAGCATTCATTTAAGCCTGTATTAATAATAGTATTCAATTAATTTATTTCAGCTCTTAATGCTTTTACGCTACAATGATATATTATAATGCTTCAAGTCGTAAAATACATATCTGTGAAATTCGTGAAAAATTCGTGATATTGTTGAAATCAATAAATAACATATTCCCGATATATATTCCGGCACATCTACTATATATACTCCCTTACGGAAATCCCTGACGCGGCGCTTACGTGACTGCGGACGGTGAATTAACGACGAAGCGATTTCGCGACATTATATCGCCGGCTACTTGGCAAATGGAGACGGCATTATATCTCGCGGCACGTGCTGCTTGGTAATCAGGCGGAGTACCTGGCTGCGTGGTAGCATATTGCAGGGTTTCAGGTTCGGGTCCACTATTTTCCGCGACGACGCGCCATCCGTCCGCGTATGGCGTGCTACCAAGTATTATCACGCTCGCTCCCGTCGTCAGTTTCGCAGACAACGCTCTTTAATAATATCCCGTCTGGTTTCCTACCCTCCGCGCCCGAATAAAGCGCATTTCGACTTTTGGCGATTAGCACCGTATGTTCCACAGCGGAAGCGTTTCAAATTAAATGTCGACGCACCTGAGCCTTGGACTCTCGCGACGAAAATGTCATGACACATGAAAAGAAAGAGGTATTTCTAAGCAAGAGGTATAACCAGATATATTTCATCGTCGAATCATATTTCATTTTTGAGCCTTTAAGCCACTCGTTTACAGATGCGGACTGATTTTCCTTGCGAAATGAATTCTTTTTATTTGAACTTTATAGTTGAAAAAGAATTTAATAACTGTTTGTAATGAAAACGTATAATTGGAATCGAATTTCGAAGAAAGAAATAATGAATATCATTATTTTAGTTGAATAGAAATTGTAGGATAATTAATACAAAGTTCAAATATTTTGTTCTTGAGATATCATGCCAGTGATGCTCTACACATCTTTGATTTTTTTGTAATTTAACATCTGTATTACCATCTCAATTTATTGACAAAAAAAATTAAAAATTTTTATTTCTGAGATTCTATATATATATATGTATGAGAAAATAAGATGTGAATGTGGACCTAATCTTTCTCTTCTTCTAAGAATTTTCATGATTTTTCGATAATATTCTTTAAATACTTTTATACATAGACGTTCGAATATAATATTTTTAATGTGAATCTTATTTTGATAAGATAAAATGTTATTATATATAT